TGACCACTGGATGGCAGTATAAGACTGTTTGAACCAAAGGATGGATAGTGAGGGAGCGAGCATCGTGTCACTTGAAGAAAAATGTGATGGAGGTCCCTTGACATGACATGAGCTGTCTCTCCTTCCTGTTTCTTGGTTCTCAAAGTGGCGGATGCTTGGTGTGGTTTGAGCTCTTAAGCATAGAATTTGTCACACAAAGCTTTTAACAAAAATTAAAAAAATCATTAAACAATCTAAAAAAGAGTCAGGTCCTCTGGACGCTCAAAAAACAAACAAAAAAACAAAAACAAACAAAAAATTGTAGAAATGTTTCGTCTTTCATCCGAAAGACTTTTTCAGTCTGAGGAGCTGTATTCAGCTCAGTCTTATAAATAGCACCTTCTCATAGTGGATCAACCAGTTTGCTGCTGACAACCAAAACCAGCTGATCACATGATCAAGAAGGACCATCAGCCTAACAATGGATCATTAGCACCTGATGGCTGTTTACTATTCACAGGGGACTGAGTGATACTAGCAATCACAGCATTGTAAGAGGGGGACAGTTGAACACGGAGGCCTCCACCCCTGTTTAATGATGGACGGTTTCTTTTCACAAAGATGGCCTCCTTTACTCCTCTCTCAAACCATCGTTCCTCTCTATCAAGGATGTGAACATTTTCATCCCTGAAAGAGTGACCGCTGGCCTGGAGATGAGTGTAGACCGCAGAATCCTGGCCTGATGATGTTGATCTTCTGTGCTGGTCCATCCTTTTGGCCAGTGGCTGTTTATTGTCCCCGATGTAAGACTGATCACCCTCCTGACACTGAACAACATACACAACATTACTCTGTTTGTGCCGGGGGACTGGATCTTTGGGATGAACCAGTCTTTAATGTATTTTGGGGTTTAAAAGCCACTGAGATGTTGTGTTTAGAAAATAAACGTCTCAGTTTCTGTGATACTCCCTCAACATACGGAATGACCACTGGTCTGGGTCTGGGTTCCTCCTTTTCACCTGTTGGCTGACTGGAGTCCTGTTTGGGTTTCTTCTCTGCTTTCAGGAAGGCCCAGTTAGGATATCCACATTGCTCTAGAGCCTGTCTTGTGTGGGATTTCTCCTTCTGCCTGGCTCCTGAGTTAGTGGGATCGCTGTCTGCTCTGTGGTACAGAGTCCAAAAAGCGTTCAATACAAAAACAACTGGACTTTATTTGTAACAGAAGACGTTTCGCTCCTCATCCGAGGAGCTTTCTCAATTTAATGAGCAGTGAGTGAGAGATTCAGGTTATAAGCCTGACTGAGATAAGACACACACACATATGTAGATTGGCAATTCACACCTAAACACGTTAACAGTAGGGGGCTTCTTCAGTTGTTTTTGTATTGAACACTTTTTGAATTCATCTTGTCCTGGATGACTGAGAATCTTCACCAGCGTGATACAGAGTCCTGATGACTCCTAACTTGTGTTCCACAAGGTGATGGGAGTCTGCCAGTACTGGTCTGTGTGGGTGGGTTTGTGGTACACCTCGGTTTGCAAATGTCCTCTATCAGAGACTGAGACCTCACAGTCCAAGAAAGCCAACCTGCCATTTTTTTCATCTTCTCGTGTGAACTTGATGTATTTATCCACAGAGTTGATGTGGTCAGTAAAATGTTGGACTTCCTGATATTTAATTTTAACCCAGGTGTCGTCAACATACCTGAACCAATGACTTGGTGGTGTCCCTGAAAAGGACGTCAAGGCTCTCTTTTCTACCTCCTCCATGTACAGGTTGGCAACAATAGGAGAAACTGGAGACCCCATAGCACACCCATGTTTCTGCCTATAATATTGCTCCCCATATGTGAAGTAGGTTGACTGCAGGCACAGTTTCAAGAGTTGACACAGTTGTTCTGTGGAAAGCGTGGTCCTGCTGCTCAGAGTGGTGTCTGATTTTAATTTTAAACTGACCACCTCTACTGCATCATCAACAGGAATGCACGTAAAGAGTGATGTGACATCAAAAGAGACCATTGTTTCATCAGTCTCCATGATGACATCCCTCACCTTATCCACAAAGTCCATGGTGTTCTGTATGTGGTGTTCTGAGCTGCCAACTAAAGGGATGAGACAGTTTTGGTTGTCAGCAGCAAACTGGTTTATCCACTCTGAGAAGGTGCTATTAATAAGACTGAGCTGAATACAGCACGTCAGACTGTAGAAGTTTTGTTTTGTTATTTTGATCGTCCAGAGGACCAGACTTAACTTTTTTAGATTTTTCTACCTGGATTATTGAGCATGCATCAGGAGATCAGTAAACAATTCTCAGCTTGTTTTTGCAGAGAAAAACAACTTTTTTACATGAAGGCACGGGTTTCAACCGTGAATTTTGGAGTTTCAACAAGAAGGAGGTTTTTTCCCTGATGTTGGGCTGTTAGCCTAGCTTCTCAGCTTAGCTGCTTTTAATGATCCAAAAACACATTTTTGGATCATTAAAACAGATTTTAAAGAGAAAGGGAGGGGTCAGTGAAGAGCACCAGAGTTAGGCTTTTGTGATCCAGTGTCTTCAGTAGAAAGAGAGAGAGAGACAAAGAAACAATAAAGCTAAAGATAATTGATTAATTGTTTATCGCAACAGGCCTAATGCCAAGTTCTGAGAGTTTATGTGACTAACATACGTATCTCCTATCTAATTTACTCTTAGAAAAATCAGGAAATTTTCAGGTAAATTTGTTTTTCATGAAATGCTGGGAACCCTGTGCGAGAATGATAACTTGAAAAATAAATGAGGTACCAACTTCCATTTTGGTGTGTGACTTCATCTAGGCATAACAAAGGCTCCTTTCAAGTATTGGTTACTAAGAAAAAATCTGAGATAGCCACCTCCATAAATAGAGCTTTGGAACATACGTTACTGCGTTGGGGGCGGGGCGTTCCCGTCTCGACCACCATGTTTACAGCACTCAGAAAAAACCCCCCAAATAAAACTCTGGTGTTTGTCTTTGGTGTCACCGCTGTATCCTCCTTCATAACGCTGAAAAGCAGCTCAAAACAAAGTGGACTATATCGTGACAAACGCACGCACGCACGCACGCACGCACGCACGCACGCACGCACGCACGCACGCACGCACGCACGCACGCACGCACGCACGCAC